ATATCAAGCTTTTATTTGTTTCTTCACCATTGGTTTCTAACGCTCCAAACAATTAAATAATGTAAAAAATGAAAGCTTTTTTCTATGGTTCTCAGGAGGATTCATTCCTCAGAAAGTAAAACCATTGCAGAACCTTTGAAAGAATGCAGAATGGTCAACTTGTTAGACACAAAACAAACCGTCATGCATCCAATAGTTTCTGCAGTTTTACTTTTCATTGGCCAAAACAGCCTCATTATGAGCTGCATGCTATACTTTGCAACGTCATTTGAAATTGTTCTTCTTCTGGGAATGAGATGAGCCATCATTAGACTGAACACAGAATCTAGCACTCAGACTGGAAAAAGAAAAGTGTTTCTATCACCTCTGCATGGCGATATTCAATCTGATTTGCAAATGCTGCTGGTTGTATGATGTAAGAAGTTCATGTAAGAGTTCTTGTTTCTAACTCGGAGGGGAAAGCCAGTCCTCCGGTTCATTGCGTGAAAATGAGAGTCATTGGCTGTTACTCCAGATAGAGGTCCATTAGAGGGGCTTATCTTTCACTGTCCCACAAGGCATGTTATCTGAGACCCGTGGACCATGCTGTTTCATATTGACTCCATGTTCTCTCACAATCTCTGCTACTTTTTTATATCACAAAGATGATGGTGTCTGTTTTAAAGGCACGATGTAACATAAAACTAATTATGTCCCTGTTGATGTTAATGAAGAACCACATCAGTCTCCACCATCTAATTCAACTAACTCTAGAATCAATCCATTGCTGTAAATGAACCTCTCCTTTCCATTTCCATTCAGAGTGAGCTGAAGAGTATGTGGCGTGAAAGGAGAGACAGCACCACACATTTCTGTTGCTCAAAACAGTATTGCATGGTATGGAAGCTTGTTTCCACCACTGAAAAAAAAATAAAAATAAAAAAAAAGGTAATTGCGACTTCTTATCTCACAATTTCTCAGAATTGTGAGATATAAACTTGCAGGTGTGTGCTATAAAGTCAGAATTGCAAGATTTTAATTTGGATACTTAGTATGAAACAATTTGAAGTATACTTAGTATGAAACCAATTTATTTTAAATAAGTTTTAGCATCGTTTTTTTTATTTTATTTTATATATATATATATATATATATATATACAGTATTGCACTAACCCAATGTAAGGTTTGTGCCACAGCTTCCCTAAACTAACATCATTGGTGATTACTAAAATAATTTTTCATGTTTCTGTAAAGGTTAATCCACCAGCTCTTTAGTCATAGTAGTATTGCTAAAATATAATTGTTGTTGTTATCCATGAATTTTCGAATTTAATGTTTTACAAGAAAGGCTGAAAAAATTGTAAAGCACTTTATTTTTAATTTTTTTTATAAATTCAGATGCCAATTACAGGTATTTACTTGCAGTCCTTAATAGAAAAATATGTTTTAGTGGTTGAATATTATGCTTGATTATTTTCTGTCTTCTGAGAGAAGTTGTGCCGGCTCAAATTATTATTTATTGGGTATTAAAGCTATAAATATAAAAAATATATAATTTTTAGTTTTAAACAAGTTTTTGACATTCCTAAAATATATATATATATATATATATATATATATATATATA